ATTCCTGCCCACATCTCCAGGTCCAGATCCTCACTTCCCGGTGCATGGCTGGCACGGAGAACTCCTTCAAAGCCTTGAATTTCAGATGCGGACACCAAAACACGCTGGCTCCACACAAACTGAGTGCTCCAGCCTGAATTCGCAAGCAGCGAGCAGGTAAAACTGCCTGACTGTAAGGGATTCTTTAGTCTCTGTGACACGGCATTTTGATTGGGAGCAGGAAATTCGCTCTCACGCAAGAGGTCACCTCTGCCTCCTCAGCTTCTGACACAAAAGAAACCAAGCGTTAGCAGCGCTCCTTTTCCTGCAGGTATTTCTAGTTCAACCGAGTCAGGAAGAGAGAGACCCCAACACCATTTCCCCATCCGGCCCGAGGGACAGAAGAATGCCAGGTCTGTGCAGCAGCAAGAAGCAGCGTTCACTGTGTGGTCTGTAAGTAGGAAGAGGTTGTTCTTCAGCTTTTTTCCTCAATGGCAAGGTCTTATTGTGCGGTTACGTTGTGGGAATTTAAACGTACTTAGCACAGGATATCCGAGTGCAGATGTTTCCTTCTTGAAAGCTGCAGTACCTCCCATTTTCAGGGACCATTAAAAATAAAGTCGGCACCGAGGTGCGGAGCACCTGAAGCACCTGCAGCCCTTAATCCAGAGTTGTCCAAATGCTGATCTCGCTCCTCATGCCTACACAAGAGCATCGGGGCCTTCATTTTAAGAGGCACTTACACTTCCAGCTTAGCATTTAGGTTTTCACTATAAATTCAGTCTCCTCCTCACTCATTGCTTTGTGAAAAATGCCAACAGGGATCATTTCTACACCTACCACTCTTCCACGTGCATTTAGCTTGAGAAACCTACAATTATAATACTTTTAATCTGTCGTGCTGTGAAGGGCCACAATAAAGCGCTGAAGTTTGGGGCCTGCAGGAAGCTTTATTCACAGCACTTTTCTCTCTTTTAATGTTACGGTTGAGATCCCAAACGCACTTACATTTGTGGAAGAACGCCTAACAAATGTTAACCTCCACACTCAATTTGAGTTGCTCACGTTCCTACAGCGCTGACATCGGTTTCTGCAGCTCACCTGACTTCACGTTCACTATTATTACGTGAAACACACATTCAAATCTTGCTTTTTTCTGCAGGTTAACGACACCGCTGGCGCTAACGCGTGGCAGGGAACGCTGATACTCCTTGAACACGCTCCGACACAAGCGGCCATGAAGCACAGACAATCACAGCGCTGTTTAAGCTCCCCAGAATGGCTGCTTCCAGTCATGAAAAACGCAGTTTGCAGAAGAAAAATCAATCGCAATTGCACGGAAATTCCTGTTTAGAAGCCAAAGTGACGGACAGGTAGAGAAGAAGGGGTGAAGGAAGTTTTCGTTTACCTACATCAATATCAGCCACAACCGTTGTCTAAAAAACAAGGTGCATGCAAAATAAGACTCAGAAGATGCATAATCCTAACCCTTAGTCACCTAAAAAATGAACCAAAACCTGGTACTTTGTTGTAAAGATGGATTCCACCACAACCGCCAGCTGTGGTACAGACACGAGGATCCGTAACTGAGCTCCCTTCCAAAGCGGAATAAATAATAAAAACGTTTCAAACTCAAGAAACTAAAAATCCTAACAGATTTAGGAGATGTCAACAGTTCTAATGCCAATGAGTGTCCACGCCTGCAAGAAAATGAAGCGTATTTAGCATGACAGGGGATAGGAAAACCCCACATCCTACTGCTAGGAAATATGAGGAAGAGACAAAGGCTCCAGGAATTCATTTTTTCCACACATTCTCACACTGTCAGGGCTGAGCAGTGAAAGCGAAAAAGCAAACCGGCCCCTGCACCGCGGGATCAGGGAGTCCAAGCCCGGCCCAGCTGAGGGCCGGACGGAAAGCCTGCCTCAGAGCCACAAGCACGGTGCCATGCAGCCCTGCAATTACCCTCGGCTTAATCACAGAGGACAAACCCGGCCGAAGAAAGCAGAGCCTGCCCCGGCCAGGGCCGGCCCCGGGGCAGAGGCTCGGTCGTTGGCCCGTCAGGCACCACC